ATGGCGTAATTAATATCAAGCATTTAGTGTGTACGAGTATGTATGTATGTAATAAATTTTCTTAAATTTCACAGATGAGCGAAGCGAATGTGGCGTACGAGGTGTCATTGTTGCATGCGCATAAGATAAGTAACAAGCATATAAAACGTATATATCATATAGGCGCGCAAGCTAGAAGGTAAGAGATACAATTAGACATTGGTAGTAAATTTACATACCACACATGATATAAGTCAAGAGTAATATTATTTATAATTACTTTTTACTTGAGAATAGGAGCATTTTGTTGTGTTTGTCGCAGGTCGCAAAGTCTTCATTAAATATTTATTCACAACAGTCAGCATTTTTCTTAAAAAGAGATCTTAACAAAATGCATTAATTATACAAATACGGGAAGGTTCTGTATAGGTATAGCACTGTCCAAATAAACACATAAAATTCAGCATCTTTTGACAGATTACTATGCAAAATTGTATACCAAACAAAATCGTAAAAACTGAATGCCAAAACTACAGTCTCCTGCGGAAAACCTATATACAATATTACAACTGCACGCCAGGCTCCGTTGATACATACACATGCATACATATACATATGTCCATAAATTGAGATCTGATAAGACCTTAATGCAACATTTACCATTTACATATTATCTTCGAGCAACGACAATTGTTGCAAATAAGATAATGTGATTAGGATCTTATGCATTATTTTATAGCAATTAAAGAAAAGTATAGAGGTCCTACTTTTATAACAGAAATGCAATCAAGTAATAGCAAAGATAATCCTATTTTTTAATAATTGCTTAATTTATATCTTTATTAATACAGAAAAATAAAAAATTATGGTTTTTAATAGTACAGTCTGCGTAAACCACCACACTTAGCCTAACGCTTTCCGTTAAGCACCCTACGAAAAAAGTAGGGATCCAGCCACGTCCTATTCCTCCATACAGCACAGTTTCAATTACTTTCAATTGTTAGTTCTAAGATTTTTTTTTTAAATTGCACTTAATTAATTATTCACTTTACAATGTAACTTAATTTTTTATTATATTTTATATATACTCAGTCAACTTTTTTAGATTATTAATTTATTATTACTATTTTATAATCTATTATTTTTTTTTTTTTTGATATGATACTATTTAGTTTTGTTTTAGTATTTGTTCAAATTAATCATTTCTAGTAAGTCAGGAACCGGAGGGTTAACTATGAAGACCAAACAAAAATACTATGGACATTTTTCCCTATTTGGTACCGATTTAAATTTATTATTACTATTATTTTGTATCCAATGTTACAGTTTTTTATTTAGAACCAATGAAAAAAGTGTTTTAAGATATAAATTAAAATAGGTGGTGGGATAATTTTAACACACTACAAGTATCAGCCCCCCCTGAACGCGACTCTACGCGGTGAGTTGCTTGAGAGCCAATGTCCAAGAAATACAATATAAACAAAATTCTAAAACATTACAAAAATTGCAAGATAAACAAATCAAGAAAAATAAATAAATATGTACAAAATCAAAATCACACCCTTTTGAGAGCACAACACACAATGGTGCTTGCGCCTTCCTTTTAACTCTTCTGCAATTCAATTATTACTTCACACTCGGAAATTATTTTGTCTGCCTTTCAGAATTACTCGCCTATTCGTGTTCGGTGGATTCTTATGCATGGGTAGCTCCGGAAACTTGGAATGCTTTCTCAATCGAAGACATGTTACCCATGGGATTGGTCTGGCCTGGTTATTTTTTTGCTCCATCGCGAAGCGTGGCGTGGTAAACACATTCCCTATGGTGGAACCATTTGAATTATGAAACAGATTTAAATATGCGCGGCACCGAAGCCCTGTCGCAAAGAAATGCGAGGAGATCAATAAGAAAGCCGTTCAAGTGAAAATCTGGTTGGCGGCGAAGGAGCTTATAAAGTTTATTTGAACATGTAAATGGGAAAGAAAATGCAGTTTTAACAGAAATTTATAAGTTAAATGTACTTTCAATATTGTATTTTTTTTTTCAAAGTATTTTCCTTTATATAATTAAATAAATTTTTGTCAAACAAATTTATCATTTTTTACTTTAATTTTTTGTTTGTTAAAGAATTAGTAGACAATTAAAACTTCAAACGAAACAAAGAAGAAAACGTTATCCTGTTCACCAAGCTATAATTACCCTTCACAAATACAAAGGCCCTAGCTTGAACTTGATCCGAACGTCTCAATTTGTATGGCAGCTATAGATCTTTAGTTGGCTCGATATCGTCGTTTCCGACACAATTACGCAGCTTTTCTTGGTGAGAAAAGGAGCGCGTGCAAAAGATTTTCAAGATTCATAGCCTTTAAAAACTGAGGGACTAGTTTGTTAATATATACAGACATGACGGACAGCCAGAAACAGACGGACATCATGGCTAAATCAACTTCAAAGCTCCATCATCGAAGCATTTTAATATAGTATATTTTTATAGGTCCCCGCACGTGTCCCCTTCTGGGTGTTACAAACTCCTTTTTTTGGCAAACTTAATAAACCCTGTTCAGGGTAAAAAAGTGTAAGAATATCACGAAATTCGAAAACATCTTCGATATGAAACCATTAAGATCAGCATATTAAAGGGGGTGCTGTCATGGCAGATGGCAAGCAAAACAAACAAATCACCCTGAGGAGTTTAAATTCAAAGTAAGCAGTTGAGTAGCGATTCCCTTTTTTTATTAATTATTTATATATTTGTTATTTTTTGTAATTGTAATTGTATTCGAGGAAAAGAAAATAATGCGCAGACGCTCTCACACTAATACATTTTCCCGAACGCTGCTCTTCGAATCTGCGCTTCTGCGCTTGGAGAGTCTACCGCAATGCAGTTCAACTTGTTAAGTGAATGCTAAGTAGTCAGTTGTAGGCGACACATCACTCGAAAAAGTCGCTAAACGAAATTTATTTTATTTAAAAAGCAAAGAAAAATCAGTTCGTAACACTTTTTATATTATTATTTATACAAAATAAATATGTCTGACAGCGTCGAATCAGAAACAATACGTAACTACTATAATGTTGCTTTGGAATTGGTCATGAAATGTGGGCCGGTCGCTTGTGAAGGGTATGAACAAGCGGATGCTAATTTCAAAACAAAATCGGCATTCTATGATGTGGTAACCGTATATGATAAGAAGGTAGAGGATCTACTCATCGCTGGACTACAGAAAGCATTCCCCGAAACGAAATTTATCGGTGAGGAGGGCACAGCGGAAAACAATAGTGAGCCGGTATTAACAAATGCACCCACATGGATCATTGATCCCATAGATGGCACCACCAATTTTATACGCCGCTTTCCAAATTGGTGTATATCGGTGGGTTTGGCTATAAATAAAGAGTTGGTCGTTGGTATTGTGTATATTCCAGTGGCGAATGAGATGTACTCAGCATATAAAGGACATGGTGCCTATCTCAATGGCAAACCCATTAGCGTGAGCAAGTGTACGAAAGTGAGTGATACAAAAACTACTGATGAACGTGTTTTACGAGAGATTCGCAGTTTTAAGATTAGATAATTATATAAAGAGTGTAAACAACTTGATATCAAGAAGTTTTGACGACAATAGATAAAGAATAGATTGCACGCAACCACTATAGCGTATAGCTGTCATGCCAACTGAACGATCAGAATCAAGTTCTTGTATAGGAAACTTTTTATCTATATATTTTTTTTAATAATTTTTATTATTTCTCCCTTTTATATTTTTAGATTTTTTTATTTATTTTAAAAATATTTTTTTATTGTAATTTTTATTATTTTATACTACTTTAATTTGGAATACTATTTTTTGTCTTCCTCTTTAACTTTTTATATGGTCTCCTTTTAATAATTAGTTCCTTTATTTTTTATAGGCTTACCAAAATTAAAACAAAAAAAATTAAAAAATTTATAAATAAAAAAAGTTCATCTAATTTTAAGTTTTTTATTTTTAGTATTTTTTTTTTAAATTTTTTAATAACAAAAATTGAGCAATAATTAACTTTTAATTGAATTTATTAATTATTATTCCTTCATTAATTTCTATCATTCACAGATGAAAACTGGCATTATTGGCACGGAGTTGTCACTCATACAAAGACCAGCTATACGTGATAAGCACATGAAACGCTTATGTACACTGGCATCCAATGCCATTGGGTAAGGGAATACTTGTATAATAGATAATTATTTACATGAAAGACTTTTAATCCTTTCCTGCAAATTTAGTTGCCGTGGCATTGGTAGCGCTGCTATATCGCTCTGCTATGTGGCGCGCGGCAGCATTGATTGCTTCGCTGTAGAGGATCTACAACCTTGGGACGTAGCAGGCGGCGCGTTAATAATACGCGAAGCAGGTGGCGTAGTGTGTCACTCAAAAGGTGGTGAATTTTCGATTTTGAAACCGGATTGCATTGCCGCAGCGACACCTGAACTGGCGCAGGATGTGATTGGTCTGATCAATAAAGCTGATCAGTTGACAGAATTTAGTTTTTGAGAATTTAAAATGAATGCACTAAATATTTTGATTTAATAGCAAAAAAAAAAACAATAATAGGTGATAAAGGTTAGAGGTTATATGTATATAGGAAAATATGTAATATAGAAAATCGATATTGAAAGTTGTAATATATGAATAAATGCTAAAAAATATAAATTTGTTTACAATGCAAGTATTTTAAATTTCGTATTAAATACATACATACATGCATAAAAATTTGTGTTGTAATATTTATAAAAAGTGCTCAAGTTTCATTGTATGTATGTTTATATATGCGCATATAATATTGTGTGTAAGTATATACATTTTAATTAACAATGGAAAACGATTTTCTGGAAGACAAAGCGTAATACATGAGCGATGTACATATGTATGTATGTTCGATCTCACTATTATATATGCAAGTAGTTTATAGTTTTATTGCATATTCTCATTCTCTTCAGCAAGCTGCCCATCTAATTCACATTTATGGCAAATAAGCTCAGATAAAAGACGATGAGCGCGCTGAGACAATGCACAAGTAATTATATTTTATAACCTGAACAAGGTATATTAAGATAGCTACAAAGTATGAAATAACAGATCCATCTGTTTATACATATAACTAGTTCCTCAGCTTTTGAGACATCAAACTGAAATTTTGCAATCGTCTTTCTTTTCAAGCTGTACACTGTCAGCGGTCCACCGACCACTATAGCATTATTATCCAAGGCAATAGTACAAATTATTCAGATCGGACCACTACAGCATATAACTACCATACAAACTGAACCTCAAAATCAAGTACTTGAAAACATTTCTATTTGTGAAGGGTATTATACTTCAGTACAGCAAGTTAACGTTTATTCTTGATTTTGCATATGTCATTATTTGCTTAAATTTTATTTGTTTTAAGTGCCTATGACTTTATTTATTCAACATACAGCTTTGACGGTATAAATTTAGAAAATAAATAAAATAAACAATAACAAAACAACATAATACCTAAATGCTTTGTTATGGACGTACACAAAAGAAAATCTGTAAATTTTATTTTCACAAAGTACATAAAGAGCGATAAAACTCATTCTCACACTTAAAAACAAAATAACAACACAAAATCGGTATCACTCCATGAACAAATAGTATTCAACATTCTAACGAAAGAGTTACTTTTCGTCGGTGTTTTATGTGCCGCACACTTTTTATCATTTTCGTCGTTCTCGCTCTTCTAGTACGCTCATCTTACATTTGCAACAAAGCACAATTTATATGAAAATGCTTACGCTAAGTTATCAGTTGTTGGCGATCATCGTGTAATAAGTTCTTACTCAATAAGTGCTGCAGCAGGTGTAGTAGCAACAATGAGGTGTCGCATTACAAACCAGACGAGTATAGTCTAATGAAGAAGAAGCACGTCACCAACGCCAACAATACTGACGTTGTTGTCTTGCAAACATTACTTTACATAAAGAAAAATGCAAATAAGAGTGATGATACTAAAATACGTAACTACTATAATGTTGCATTAGAATTGTTATGAAATGTGGTCCACTACCGTGAAGGTTATAGCGTTGCTGATGTAGATTTTAAACAAAACAGCACTTACGATTTAACAACTGTATATGATAAACAAGTAGAGGATATACTTTCGGAGGTTACAAACAGCTTTCAGAATCAAAATTTATCCGAGAGAGTTATCGGAACAGCAAAGTTCAGTTGACAGATCTCCATGGAGTTATGATCCCATAGATGGCACCACATTCACCACCCATACCAGTGTGTATATCGTGGGTTTGCCATTAATCGAGGTAGTTGGTATTGTTTATAATCCTATTGCAAATGAAATGTATTCGCATGGAAGGTCATGGCGCTTATTTGAATGGTAAACTATTCATGTGAAAATGTACCGAATGAGTATTATTTTAAATATTCAAACTACATACATGTTGACAAACATATATTTGGTGGATATTTGAAGTAGACAAAAGAAATGATTCTTACTCAAAGGTGCAAAGATTTACTTGATTTCAGATGATCCCTACGTCTGATTATGCTGATCTACCAGTTGTTGAATCTCTTGAAATCAATTATCACAGATATCTACATGGTGTAATAGTCCTCATTGCCAAAACTGCTCTTCATCGCGAAATTTGTCGTACATTCTACCACAAGAAAGCAGCAATCCTTGATAAATTGACGTTCCCCAACCCATGCGAATATTCAGCGTCCGTAGAAATGGGTAGTGCGGTTGTCCACAGAAATAAAATCGGGGAGTTTCTCGATCAGATTATTATAGGCAGGTGGTCTGATGCGGTGTTAGCAAGGTCGTCAGGTTATGCTGCTTATCGGACTGCTGCTTATCGGACTGCGACCAGCGATTGTTATATGAGGCGAACTCTACAAAGTGTAGTTAAGCGCAAATATTGACATTATGCGTTATGCAAGTACAATGAGCACCATATATTTGTTCTGTGGCGACATATGTGTATATTGTATGCGGTTTCGTTTCATGATTATAATAACAATCTTTGGTCTTTCTCTCCGTTTAACCACAATTTAATTACAAGGTATACAAGTAAATAGCTTTTCACGAAATAAAATCTATTAATTTAGCATGCCACGTAACTTTAGAATAGAAAATTCAAACATTTTAAATATTGATATTATTTTTCTTTCACTATATGTCGATTTCAGATGAACGATGCAGTTTTACTTACGAAGTTTGCATTATTTGCGAAGCATCACTGCGTGATAAGTATGTGAACGCCTTTCTAAACTCCGGCTGTTAGCACGGGGTATACATATAATAATTTATATATTTATAAGTAGTTCACAAAATCGTTCTTTAACGGCACACGTTGCATGGGCGTGCCGCATTGACCCTCTGCTACCTTGCGCGGCTGCTTTGATTGCTACCACGTTGGGATTTACAGCCATGGATATGGCTGGTGGCGCAGTGATATTACGTGAAGCCGGTGGTGTGCATATCTTAGCAAAGGTGGTGTTTAATATTATGAAACCCGATTTAACGGCCGCAGCCAGCCAGGATTGTAAAAATCATGGTCGGTTTAATTGAAGAGGCTGATGCACTGACTGACTTCACATTTAAATTTTATTGTTATTAATCATGTTCTAATTTTGCGAAGTTTTGGTAGGTAGTTAACAAATAAATTATTTTGAAAATCTTACATTTGGCGGCATTCCGTGTGTTTGATACCATTGGTGGCATATTGGAACCGGGCTAAACCAACCGAAAACGTGCATTACATTATTAGTAATTAAAACTTTGTAGTAAAAATCTAGAAGAATTTTAGTTATTGTTTATAATGAAACTCAAATGAAAAGGTTTTTAAAGCGCAGAAATGTTTGAGCTAATATAAGCAAAGTTATGAAAGCTTGCTCAGCGAATCTAACATTAAACTGTTCCTTTAAGTTTTTTAGTGAGTTGTGTTGGTTACTTTTTTGTAGGTTATTGTTGTTACTTTTTTGCAGTTGAGCAAACTAATAGCGTCAATTCTCAAATACTGTTAAATGCACCCACTTATTAGATAATATCATCAATACTTCGAACGCGATTCTAAATTTATTTTATCAAAGCCGGCTCAATAATTTAATCTTTATTTTAATAAATGCGATGGGACAATGGCAACCCAGAGCTACATCCGATACTCACGAACGGTGAGAATTTTTTACAAAACAATGTAATTAAAATGAAAAAACAAAACAAATAACAGACAAACCAGAATAGAAAGTAAAAATAAATACAGGAGATACAACAATCGTTATTAATCAGTAGCGTAGAACAGGAGTGCATCACTGCAAACATGTTTACAGACAACAACGCATTTGATAACACAACAATCAGTTGAGTGCTGAACTTTCTGAAGCTTGTAAACGTTATTTTTGCGAATAGATAGCAATAAAGTGCTTAAAACATACATACAAAGCGAGGCACTAAGATAAAGCGCGACACTTTCAGAAATAAAATCAATTTCAATTTAACGAAAAATATTACTCAAAACCCCCAAAGCACAAGCAAAAATATGCCAGTCCACACTGATCAACAGATGGTTCGATTTTATGTATCCGCTTGCGCAGCGTGCTGGAAAATACTGCTCGAATTACGCAGGCAAGCAGGTCAGCATCAAGACGCATTTACAATGTGGTCGATTATGATAATGAAGAAGTTCTTATCGAACAATATTGCGATATCAACAAGTTTATCCGAAGAGATACAGCGAAAAATAATCATGTACAAAAGCGTTAACGGGCACCGACTTGGATCATTGATCCCATCGATGGCACATCGAACTTTATCAAACAGATACCGTGTGCATCTCAATCGGTTTGGCAGTAAATAACAAATCGTTTTGGGCATCATCAACAATCCGGTGCAGCAGAAAATGTACACAACAAAACTATGGTGGCGCCTTTTGCAATGGGAAGATACATGTGAAAATTGCTAAAGTAAGTCACTTGAAATGCGTAATTAATATCAAGCATTTAGTGTGTACAGTATGTATGTAATAAATTTTTAAATTTCACAGATGAGCGAAGCGAATGCGTACGAGTGTCATTGTTTCGCATAAAATACGTAACAAGCATATAAAACTATATATCATATGGGCGCGAAGCTAGAAGGTAAGCGATACATGACATTGGTAGTAAATTTACATAGCACATGATATAAGTCAAGAGTAATATTATTTATAATTACTTTTCGAGAATAGGAGCATTTAGTTGTGTTTGTCGCAGGTCACAAAGTCTTCATTAAATATTTATTCACAACAGTCAGCATTTTCTTAAAGAGATCTTAACAAAATGCATTCATTATACAAATACGGAAGGTTCTGTATAGTATAGCATAAGCGGTAGCTATGCCAACTGTCCAAATAGACACATATAATTCAGCATCTTTGACGATTACCATGCAAATGTATACCAAACAAATCGTAAAACTGAATGCCAAAACTAAAGTCTCGTGCGGAAAACTTATATACAATATTACAACTGCACGCCAGGCTCCGTGGAATTCATAAAGTTAGTCAAAGTATATTTTATTCCCTGAACAGGGTATTAAATTGGTCACGAAGTTTGTAACACCTAGAGGGAACGTCGGATACACTATAAATGATCAGCGTGACGATTTTAGCATGTCCGTCTGTCTGTACGTATACCGTGGCATACAAAAATAGTCATCTAATTTTGAGATATCGATCTGAAATTTTGTTCATTTGCCGGCACCGCGGATGTCGAACACTATAGCATATAGCTTCCATATGGAATGGAAAACTTTTTATTTGACAATTTCCAAACAAAATGTTCAGATCGGACCACTATAGTATATAATTGTATAGTACTTATAGCACCCGACACATGCATATACATATGTCCATAAATTGAGATCTGATAAGACCTTAATGCAACATTTACCATTTACATATGTATTCTCTTCGCATGCAAGTCATTTGTGCAAATAAGATTAGACTAATAGGATCTTTGCATTTATACAATTTAAGAAAAGTATCTACTACTTTTATAACGAAATAACATCAAGTATGTAAGCAAAGATAATCCTATTTTAATATTGCTTAATTTATATCTTTTATACAGAAAATTAAAAAATTATGGTTTATAGTACAGGTCTGCTAAACCACCACGCTTAGGGCTTGACGCTTTCCGTTAAGAACCCCTACCGAAAAAGTAGGGATCACAGCCACGCCTACTTCTCATACAGCACAGTTTTCAATTACTTTCATTTTAGTTAACATTTTTTTTTTAATTGAATTAATTAATTTTTCACTTACAATTACTAATTTTTTTATGTATTTTACATATCATACTTCAGTCTGTTATTATATTTATTATTACTTATTTTATTATTATTTTTTTTTTGATATGAATAATATTATATTTAATTTTCTTTATATTTTTTAATTAATACTACTCAGTCAAACGAGGTGTTTATATAGACAAAACAAAATATATGGACATATTCTATTTTCGTACCGATTATAATTTATATTACATTATTTTATCCAATAGTTACATTTTATTTAGACCATGAAAAAGTGTTAAGATATAAATTAAAAATAGATGTGGATAATTTGAACATCTACAATATACCTGAACATGATCTACGCAGCTGCTGAGAGCATTCAAGAACTAATATAAACAAATTCCAAAAACATTACAAAATTGCAAGAATAAAAAATCAAGAAAATAAATAAATAAAGCACAAATTAAATCACTCTTTGAGACACACACAAGAGTGCGCTCTTCAACTCTCTGCATTCATACTCTTCACACTCGAAATATTTTCTCCACTTTCAGATTACTCGCGTATGTCGTGGATTCCTATGCATGTAGCTCCGAAAGATCTTTCATATCGAAGACATGTACCCATAGTTTGCTCCGGTTTCTCATACCTGAACCGTGGCGTGTAACATCCCTATGGTGGACCATTTGAAATTATGAAACCAGATTTAATATGCGCTGGCACCGAGCCGTTGCGCAAAGAAATGGAGGAGATCATAAGGAAAGCCGATCAAGTGAAATCTGTTGGCGCGAGGAGCTATAAAGTTTAGTTGAACATTGTAAATGGGAAGACACAGTTTTACAGAAATTCTAATTGTTATGTACTTCAATATTGTAATTTTTCAAATATTATTCTTTATATAATTAAATAAATTTTTTTCAAACAAATTTTACCTTTTTTACTTTAATTTTTGCTTTTAAAAATTAGTACAATTAAAACTTCTAAACGAAAAAAAGTGTAAATATTCGAAATTCGAAAATCTTCGATATGACATCAAACAGCTATTGGAGGGGAAGAGTGGCGTGCTGTCATGCGGATGGCAAGCAAAACAAACAAATCACTGAGAGTTGTAAATTCAAGTAAGCAGTTGAGTAGCGATTCCCTTTTTTATTAATTATTTATATATTTGTTATTTTTGTAATTTGTATTGTATTTGAGGAAAGAATTTATGCGCAGACGCTCTCATACTAATACATTTTCCCGAACGCTGCTCTTCGAATTGCGCTTCTGCGCTTGGAGAGTCTACGCAATGCAGTACAACTTTGTTAAGTGAATGCTAAGTAGTCAGTTGTAGGCGACACATCACTCGAAAAAGTCGCTTTAGCGAAAATTATTATATTTAAAAAGCAAAGAAAAATCAGTTCGTAACACTTTTTATATTATTATTTATACAAAATAAATATGTCTGACAGCGTCGAATCAGAAACAATACGTAACTACTATAATGTCGCTTTGGAATTGGTCATGAAATGTGGGCCGGTCGCTTGTGAAGGTTATGAACAAGCGGATGCTAATTACAAAACAAAATCGGCATTCTATGATGTGGTAACTGTTTATGATAAGAAGGTAGAGGATCTACTTATCGCTGGATTACAGAAAGCATTCCCCGAAACGAAATTTATCGGTGAAGAGGGCACAGCGGAAAACAATAGTGAGCCGGTATTAACAAATGCACCCACATGGATCATTGATCCCATAGATGGCACCACCAATTTCATACACCGCATACCACATTGGTGTATATCGGTGGGTTTGGCCATTAATCGAGAATTGGTAGTGGGTATTGTTTATAATCCTATTGCAAATGAAATGTACTCGGCATGGAAAGGTCATGGTGCTTATTTGAATGGCAAACGTATTCATGTGAGAAAATGTACCGAAGTGAGTATTATTTAATTAAATATTCAAACTACTACATGTTGACAAACATATATTTGTGTGGATATACGAAGTAAACCAAAAGAAAATTAGTTTGTACTCAAAAAGTGCACAGTATCGTAAGTTATTTGTTATCTCTTAAGAGGTATAGATAACGAGTATTGGAAAGTAATAAACACAGGTGCTTTTCTTATAGCATAAGAGGGCAATAAAAAAAGATCTATATCTTGACTTTAAAGATATCTCGTCAAATAAAAGTTTTCCGAACAAGGAATTGATTTTGATTGATCAGTTTGTACGGCAACTACTTATATGCTAAATGTAGTGGTCCGATATTGGCGGATCCGCCAAATGAGCAGCTTTTTGGGGAGCAAAGGACGTGTGACAGACCGACGAGCATGGCTAGATTAACCCAGCTCGTAATGCTAATCATTTGTATATATTTTCCATAGGGTTTCCGAGGTTTCCTTTTGGGTGTTACAAACTTCGTTGCAAACTTAATATACCCTGTTCAGGGTATTGGAGTATAAAAAACCAAGTATCATTGTTGTTATTGTTGTTGTAGCGACTAAACAGACCCTGTTTTGGGTTAAGGCAATAAGTTAACTGGCATCGAAATCACTTAACGGTAGGCCGAGGAAACGAGCTGTTTTGACGGATTCGGACCATAGGGTAGGGGTGTTAAGTGAGTCAATTGGACATGCAAAGAGGTGGTTAGTGGCATGCGGGGAATTTTGACATCATCGAAGAAAATTTTGGGATCCAGTTTGTAAATAGGGGGTAGGCCGTGAAATTGGAAGGAGAGAGATTTAGGCTCCTTGCAGTGAAGAAGCGAGAAAGTTCTAGGAGATAGGCGTTCACTTTTAAGCAGATGGCATCAATTCCATTGTAATAGGACCTCCGTCTGGTGGTTGTGAGAGTTTCGAAATATAGTGATTAAAGAGTAGCGGGCAGAGAACACCACCTTGCGGAACCCCCTGTTTAGAGCTCTTTAATTTAAATTGTTCACCTCGAAATAATACCGATGATTGTCGACCGCTCAGATAATTCATGGTCCACCTCTTCAGTCCTAAAGGGAGCGTTGTTTGTCCTCACGCAGCGTTTTATGGACTGTGTCAAAAGTTTTTGACAAGTCCTACGCTACGAGGACAATCCTCTCACGAGCTCAGGGATTTGACAGTAGTCCAAAGCTTGCTCACTCCTACGGAGAGGTTACATGATTTCAGATGATACACCCATTTTGTCTGCTTAGGCGGGAAATTTGGACGTACATTCTACCAGCAAGAATCAGCGACCAGTAGCAGCAGCGATCACCTTGCGGAATTGACGTACGCCAACGAATGCGAATACTCATACGTCCGTAGAAATGGTCAGTGCGGTGAATTCTTAGTGAATTCTGTGAAGCCAAGTCAGCTAGCTTTGTTAAAGTTAACGTAGGTGCAGTTGTCCACAGAAATAAAATCGGAGAGTTTCTCGATGAAGATTATTATGGGCAGGCTATGCTGCTTATCGGACTACAACCAGCGATTGTTATATGAGGCGAACTACATGTTGTGTACACAAAGTGTAATTAAGCGCAAATATTGACATTATGCGTTATATGCAAATTGCAATGTGCACCATATATTTGTTCTGTGGCGACATATGTATGTATATTAGTATGCGGTTTCATGATTATAATAACAATCTTTACGGTCTTTCTCTCCTTTTAAGCCAACAATTTAATTACAAGGGTATACAAGTAAATAGCTTTTCTCGAAATAAAATCTATTAATTTAGCATGCCACTTAGTATACTTTAGAATAGAGAAAATTCAAACATGTTTAAATATTGATATTATTTTTTTTTTCTTTCACTATATGTCCATTTCAGATGAACGATGCAGTTTTAGCTTACGAAGTTTCAATTANCTCAAGTTTCATTGTATGTATGTTTATATATGCGCATATATGTATGTGTGTAAGTATAACCCACATTTTTGCAATTAACAATGGAAAACGATTTTCTGGAAGACAAAGCGTAATACATGAGCGATGTACATATGTATGTATGTTCGATCTACTTATTATATATGCAAGTAGTTTATAGTTTTATTGCATATTCTCATTCTGCTTCAGCAAGCTGCCCATCTAATTCACATTTATGGCAAATAAGCTCAGATAAAAAGACGATGAGCGCGCTGAGACAATGCACAAGTAATTATATTTTTATAACCTGAACAAGGTATATTAAGTATGCTACAAAGTATGAAATAAGCTTAGCAGTCCATCTGTTTACATATACGCAAACTAGTTCCTCAGCTTTTGAGACATCAAACTGAAATTTTGCAATCGTCCTTTTCTTTTCAAGAAGCTGTACAGCTGTCAGCGGTCCACCGATATCGGGCCACTATAGCATTATTATCCAAGGCAATAGTACAAATTATTCAGATCGGACCACTACAGCATATAACTGCCATACAAACTGAACGCTCAAAATCAAGTACTTGAAAACATTTCTATTTGTGAAGGGTATTATAGCTTCGGTGCAACAGAAGTTAACGTTTATTGCTTGTTGATTTTGCATATGTCATTATTTGCTTAAATTTTTATTTGTTTTTAAGTGCCTATGACTTTATTTATTCAACATACAGCTTTTGACGGTATAAATTTAGAAAATAAATAAAAATAAACAATAAACAAAAACAACATAATACCTAAATGCTTTGTTATGGACGTACACAAAAAAGAAAAAAATCTGTAAATTTTTATTTTCATGCAAAGTACATAAAGAGAGCGCGATAAAACTCATTCTCACACACTTATAAAAACAAAATAACAACACAAAAATCGGTATCACTCCATGAACAAATAGTATTCCAACATTCTAACCGAAAGAGTTACTTTTCGTCGGTGTTTTATGTGCCGCACAGCTTTTTTATCATTTTTTCGTCGTTCTCGCGCTCTTCTAGTACGCTCATCTTACATTTTGCAACAAAGAAGCACAATTTATATGAAAATGCTTACGCTAAGTTATCAGTTGTTGGCGATACATCAGTGTAATAAGTTCTTACTCAATAAGTGCACAGCAGGTGTAGTAGCAACAATACGAGGTGTCGCGAATTACAAGCCAGACGAGTATAGTCTAATAAGAAGAAGAAGCACGTCACCAACGCCAACAATACTACGACGTTATTGTCTTGCAAACATTACTTTACATAAAAGAAAAAAAATGGCAAATAAGAGTGATGATACTAAAATACGTAACTACTATAATGTTGCATTAGAATTGGTTATGAAATGTGGTCCACTACTACGTGAAGGTTATAGCGTTGCTGATGTAGATTTTAAACAAAAAACAGCAGCTTACGATTTAGCAACTGTATATGATAAACAAGTAGAGGATATACTGTTCGAGGGTTTGCAAACAGCCTTTCCAGAATCAAAATTTATCGGCGAGGAGAGTGTATCGGAGAGCGGCAAAGTTCCCGAGTTGACAGATGCTCCCACATGGATTATTGATCCCATAGATGGCACCACCAATTTCATACACCGCATACCACATTGGTGTATATCGGTGGGTTTGGCCATTAATCGAGAATTGGTAGTGGGTATTGTTTATAATCCTATTGCAAATGAAATGTATTCGGCATGGAAGGGTCATGGCGCTTATTTGAATGGTAAACGTATTCATGTGAGAAAATGTACCGAAGTGAGTATTATTTAATTAAATATTCAAACTACATACATGTTGACAAACATATATTTGGGTGGATATTTGAAGTAGACCAAAAGAAAATTAGTTCTTACTCAAAAAGTGCAAAGAGAGTTTACTTGATTTCAGATGATCCACCCATTCGTCTGATTATGCTGATCTACCAGTTGTTGAATCTCTAAATTGAAATCCCTTATCACAGATATCTACATGGTGTAAGTAGTCGCGCTCATTTGCCAAAACTGCTGCTTCAGTCGCGAAATTTGGTCGTACATTCTACCAGCAAGAAAGCAGCGATCACCTTGATAAATTGACGTTCGCCAACCCATGCGAATATTCGTACGTCCGTAGAAATGGGTAGTGCGGTTGTCCACAGAAATAAAATCGGGGAGTTTCTCGATCAAGATTATTATGGGCAGGTGGTCTGATGCGAGTGTTAGCAAAGGTCGTCAGGTTATGCTGCTTATCGGACTGCTGCTTATCGGACTGCGACCAGCGATTGTTATATGAGGCGAACTTCTACAAAGTGTAGTTAAGCGCAAATATTGACATTATGCGTTAATATGCAAATTGCAATGAGCACCATATATTTGTTCTGTGGCGACATATGTATGTATATTAGTATGCGGTTTCGTTTCATGATTATAATAACAATCTTTACGGTCTTTCTCTCCGTTTAAGCCAACAATTTAATTACAAGGGTATACAAGTAAATAGCTTTTCACGAAATAAAATCTATTAATTTAGCATGCCACTTAGTATACTTTAGAATAGAGAAAATTCAAACATTTTTAAATATTGATATTATTTTTTTTTTTTCTTTCACTATATGTCGATTTCAGATGAACGATGCAGTTTTAGCTTACGAAGTTTGCATTATTTGCGAAGCATCACTGCGTGATAAGTATGTGAAGCGCCTTTCTAAACTCGCGGCTGTTAGCACGGGGTATACATATAATAATTTATATATTTATAAAGTAGTTCACAAAAAATCGTTCACTTTAACAGCACACGTTGCATGGGCAGTGCCGCATTGACCCTCTGCTACCTTGCAAGCGGCTGCTTTGATTGCTACCACGTTGAAGATTTACAGCCATGGGATATAGCTGGTGGCGCAGTGATATTACGTGAAGCCGGTGGTGTGCTATATCATAGCAAAGGTGGTGAATTTAATATTATGAAACCCGATTTAACAGCCGCAGCCACGCCAGAGTTAGTAAAAATCATAGTCGGTTTAATTGAAGAGGCTGATGCACTGACTGACTTCACATTTAAATAATTTATTTGTTATTAATCATGTTCTAATTTTGCGAAGTTTTGTATGGAGTTAACAAATAAATTATTTTGAAAATCTTACATTTGGCGGCATTCCGTGTGTTTGATAACCCATTGGTGGCATATTGGAACCGGGCTAACCAACGAAAAACGTGCATTACATATATATAGTAATTAAACTTTGTAAGTAAAAATCTGAAGAATTTTAGTTAATTGTTTTATAATGAAACTCAAATGAAAAGGTTTTTAAAGCGAAATGTTTTGAGCTAATATAAGCAAAGTTATGAAAGCTTAAAGCTCCAAGCGAATCTAACATTAAACTGTTCAACTTTAAGTTATTTTAGTAGGTGTGTTAGTTACTTATTTAGTAGGGTTGTTAGTTACTTATTTTAGCAGACATTGAGAGCAAACTAATAGCGTCAATTCTCAATACTGTTAAATGCACCCACTTATTAGATAATATCATCAATACTTCGAACGCGATTCTAAATTTATTTTATCAAAGCCATAGCTCAATAATTTAAGCTCTTTATTTTAATAAATGCGATGGGACAATGGCAACCCCAGAGCTACATCCGATACTCACGAACGGTGAGAATTTTTATTTACAAGCAAATTGTAATTAAAATTGAAGAAAACAAAACAAAACAGAGCAAACCCAGAATAGAAAGTAGAAATAAATACAGGAGATACAACAATCGTTATTATCAGTAGCGGTAGAACGAGTGGCATCAGCTGCAAAAGCATGTTTTGCACAGACAACAACGCGCATTTGATAGACACAACAATCAGTTGAGTGCTGAACTTTGCTGAAGCTTGTAAACGTTATTTTTTGCGGCAACATAGATAGCAATAAAGTGCTTAAAAACATACATACAAAGCGAGGCACTAAGATAAAGCGCGACACTTTCAAGAAATTAAAATCAATTTCAATTTAACGAAAAAATATTACTCAAAAAACCCCCGCAAAGCACAAGCAAACAATATGGCCAGTCCACAGCTGATCAACGAATGGTTCGATTTTATGTATCCGCTTGCGCAGCGTGCTGGCGAAATACTGCTCGAAGGTTACGCGGAGGCAAGCAGGTCAGCATCAAGACGGCATTTTACGATGTGGTCACCGATTATGATAATAAAATTGAAGAAGTTCTTATCGAACAAGTATTGGCACGATATCCGGAGCACAAGTTTATCGGCGAAGAGGATACAGCGAAAAATAATCATGTGACAAAAGCGCTAACGGACGCACCGACTTGGATCATTGATCCCATCGATGGCACATCGAACTTTATCAAACAGATACCGCATGTGTGCATCTCAATCGGTTTGGCAGTAAATAAGCAAATCGTTTTGGGCATCATCAACAATCCGGTGCAGCAGAAAATGTACACAACAAAACTAGGTGGTGGCGCCTTTTGCAATGGGAAGCCCATACATGTGAGCAATATTGCTAAAGTAAGTCACTTGAAATGGCGTAATTAATATCAAGCATTTAGTGTGTACGAGTATGTATGTAATAAATTTTCATAAATTTCACAGATGAGCGAAGCGAATGTGGCGTACGAGGTGTCATTGTTGCATGCGCATAAAATACGTAACAAGCATATAAAACGTATAT